CGCCCCTTGCTTTTTTTGCCTTTATCCCATATGGTTAGCATATGTTAATTTTGTAAGCAAGGGTAAAGGACGTAAATAGGTTTTATTTAACCCCAGCTCTTAAGGGTGCTGATGAATTCTCTTCTGTGCAGTGTGCAGTGTGAAGTGTGCAGTGTGCAGTGTGCAGGCCTCGGGATGGAGCTGCAGTTTCGCTCTCCCAGGACAGCAGCCTCAGCACCTCTCCTAGTTTGCTGGACGCCACGGTTTGATTCACGTCTTCCACATTGCCTGAACTTCAAATTATCTTCCTAAACTGTATTCCAGGGAAGCTCAGGGTCAAGATATTGAGGAGGTTTTACGTTATCTGGTTATCCTGACGAATGGTTTCTACAAACGGAATGCCGCTGATTTCCCACCAGCCTCCCTGAGAGGGTCACTAACGTGGGAAGTGACCAGTTTGCTTGTTTTGTTAATCCTTGGCTAATTTTATATGAAAGCCTACAATTGACTTTTCTTTTCCATAGCATACTCTCAGCGCTCTCTCATATTTAAAGCACCAGATTTAATATAAATATAACATACATGCATAAATATAACATAGCATAGTAATTCTTTAAATGTGCATTCCGTGGCTGTTCTGTACAGATTAAAATCACCCACTGCAAAACAGATTGGTGTCCTGCTGGAGTGAACCTCCATTGTCTCTCTCAGCAGGGAGCAAAGGCCTTTAAGGGTACTGGCACCTCTGGACCTCAGGTCACCCTCCCCAATTTCAGCAGACCCACCAGAAACGCACTTACCTCCCACATCCTGGAGTTGTCCCTGTGTGTCTTGACTTCGCTGGCATTGACCACTTTACCTTGAAAGGGTCCAAATCTCACTCCTTTGGCAATGAAGTTACTACAGAACACGCCAAAGTGTGGGACATCCCCAAACTCTGTCTGCATGAGGCAGAGACCTAGGAACCCAAGGCACAGAGAAAAGGGGAATGAGCCAGTGTTTCAGCATTAATTAGTTCTGGGAAATAAACGCAGGCAAGGAGAGCAGCCTACCTTCTGGAAGCTGAAGGGAGGCTTTGTCCAGAGTTTTAGGAAGACGATTAGACCCTAGAAAAAGACAGCCTTAAATTATTCAAAGGAGAAATCAATGTATGGTGAGTTAGTTGCCTTCCTGAGTGGGTTCCTTATTTTGCATTTGATTTGATGTGTACCTAACCTTCATTGTTTTTCTTGCTCCTTTGACACAGGCTTTTTGTACACCATTGCTCATTTGTCACTCAGGACATTCTTTGGGCAAGGTTTTGTGGGGAACTGATTCCCTTTTGCAAACTTGAGAATCAGAGACAATGCTTTTCTGAAGTCAAAAGCTGCCAGGTTGGGGTTGGAGATTCAGCTCAGTGGTAGAGCACTTGCTCAAACGCAAGGCCCTGGCCTGGGTTCGGTCCTCAGCTCTGAAGGGAAGCTACCCGTTATGAATTTCTGGAGGCTATTATGCAGATACTTTGTACATCCACCAGAACCACCGAGTGAAACCGTTTTGCTCCTAGTCTTCAGAGTTCACTGAAACCAACCTCAGGAATTGCACAGTTAATCGGGGAGGACCCAAGAAGTCAGCCTAGAGCAGGAGGTTCTGAGGGACAATGGCCTCTTCAGCTCAGATCCACTTTGACAAACCTGTTCCACCCCACCCAGACCCTGGATGTAGATTTCCTTACCAGAGCTGTCTGTGGGAAGCAGGATGCCTGAAATTGCATGGTGTAGGCCGGTTGGGTGCCCGGGACTTGCAATGACCCCATACAGAACGAAGCGCAGTTCCTCCTCGGAGAAGTTGAAGCTAGGAAGAGGCAGCTTCCCCTCTTGGCTCAGGGCTTGAGGGACCGATATTGACTGGGAGGTCTTCAGACCATCAGGTAATAGGGAAGCAATCACCGGGGGTGGCAGAAGTAGATTTTCAGCTCCCCACCACTGGCCTCCGTTGCTTTGGCCGCCGATGGGGACCAAATTTTGGCTGCTGGAAGTGCTGCGCGTGTACTCAGGGCTGTCTAGAAATCGCGGTACCTCGGGAGTAAAGTGAGGAATTGGGTACCATGGTGACAGCTTGTTGTACCAGGGCAGATTGTAGAGTGGCTCGCTCGGCACAGCCAGACCCGGGTTCAGCAAGGGAGGAGCCACCCGAAACGCATTGAGCGGGGCCATCGCCTGGGACGCAGGAATTGCCTCCGCCAGCTTCCCGAAAGGCTGAAAATCCTCCTCGGTGGTGGCGGCGAGGTCCCTGTAGTGGTTGTAGCCCGGGAGAGACGTGTAGTAGGCAGCCAGGTGCTGGGAGCTACTTTGGGGCAGATTGTTCGCCTTGTCCTGGGACTTGCTGTCACCCAGAGGCGGACGTAGGGCCATCGCAGGCTGAGCTCCACGCATCTGCGGGAAACCGAGACCGCTGAGTGCAGGGTCCTAGGTGGTCTTACCTATTTTCTTTTTCCCACCCCAGCCAGCCCCAGGTCAAAGTTAATGGACAAACTTCCCAATTCGATCCCGCCAAGCCTAACTCGCAAAAACAACGCAAAAGGCACAAAAAAACCAAACGCCTCAAAACTCTAACGAAATTCTGCCTCAATCTCGCTCAACTGGAAGGTGCTGGCTCGGGTCGCCTTCTCCTTTGCTCCTGAAACAGCCTTGGCTAGGGACTGCTGGTTTCCAATGCCTGATGTCCACCTGATTCCCCCAACCCGGCTCCTGCAAAACGCGTTTCAATTGCTCCTCCCTTCTACTCCTCAGTTTAACAAACGGCTCCTCCAGGGTCTCTAGACCCTCCTTTACCCAGATAACTAGGGCAAGGCCGTGCACCCGTTTCGGAGCAGGCGGTGGCTTCCCGAGCTCGAGTCCCCCGCAGAGACAGAGGGGGTATGGGCTCTGGGTGGGAATCTGCAGACGGGGTTCCGAGCGGATTCGGAGCTCCAGGCGTTCGGCGAGACCCCAGCAGCTCCGGGCAGCAGGGAGAGGAGCGGCACGCTTTGCCCCTCTAGAGATCCACGCCCAATGCCCCCTCTCGACACATCTCTAGTCTCTCGGTAACCCCAGCCATCTCAAGCCAGGTCGCCCCTGGGGACCCAACAATGACAATTCCTAGGTCAGGTAGCAGATAGATGCCTCGGCGGTTCCTGACCCTCCCTCCCTCCCTCCGCCGCTGCGGCCCCAGCCCTGAAATCCCGCTGTCTTAGTGACCACGGAACGAATTCGCCAAGGCTGGGGAGGTAAGTCCCATCAGGGTGAGCGGGACTCAAAGACAAGATCAATGAGTCCAATAAGAAGCCACCCAGGGTCGTGACTCAGAAGTTAAAGAACATGGGGTCAGGAGGAGAGGTCAGTCGCCACGCAGGTCTCTGTCTATCTCCCCTGAGCCTCGGAAGTCGCCGGGCTCCAACTCCAATGCAAGCAAAAAATTGCATTATAAAGTTAAAAAAAACCAACCAACATCAAAACAACGCAAAACACAAAACAAAAACAAAGAAACAAACAAAAAACCCAACTGCAAAACGAACTTCGATAGCGATTGCAGCTCACCTTTCCCGGCCCTGCTGGAAGCCTGTAGCCCTTAGGGGTCCCTCCGCGCAGGCGCCACGCACCTACCTCCGGCACTGATAGGGCGGCACCTTCTGGGTCTCAGGACCCTAGACTTCCGAAAGCCCCCGAGGGCTGCTCCAGCTTAAAGAGGAAGTGTGCAGACAGGGCCTCGGGTCATTTGGAGAGCAGTAGACGAGATCGGACCCACGAAGATCCCGATAGTCTTCTCCACGCCCATTACAGCCATTGGCCGGCGCTCGATTCGCCCTTAGCCCCCAGAGATCACGCTCTTAACTCAACAGTTCTCTAGACGGTTCCCTGGAATCCTGTGAAGTGCGATTGCCCATCTTGCTCTGGCAGGCGCTGTTGCTGCTCCAGGCTAGCCGTGTCAGGGAGCCAGAGTGTGGCAAATGTTGCCTAGGGCCAGAATGTGGCAAATGTTGCCCAGGGTCCACAATAAGCCCTTCTGTGCGCACACACGCACTTACCGCACACACGTGCGCGCGAACACACACACACACACACACACACACACACACACACACACACACACACACTGAACTGGCCTCGTGAGATCCGAACAAGCCTTACCCAGGGGCCCAACCACACACACTACACCCCAAACAGAGGCAGGAAGCCCAGAACAACCCCTAAAGACACTTACACACAGTCACCTCACCACACCCTGGACTGGCACTGGCCACTACCTGGCCTCTAGGATAGTGCCCAACTCCTCAGCAGGTGACAAGGGCAAATTTGACCAAGAGCAGGCTGGGCTCTGCGAGGGGTGTGTGTGTGTGTGTGTGTGTGTGTGTGTGTGTGTGTGTGTGTGTGAGACCGTGGGCAACACACTTGTCAGCTTTCAGCGGGCGCCTTGGAGTCCGGGCTCCTGAGCTGGGTGAGCCGTGTTCCTGAAGCCAGGGGTGGGGGTGAGGTGGGGTGGGGTCCTTTTGCGGCTTTTACTTCTTGGTGACCAAAAGCCAACCTCCCCACACCACACCTTCCCAGCTGACCCTTCAGAAGAAGACGAATCGCGACCTTGACCCGAGGCTCTAAGAACGTAAGTCTAGACCTGCACCTTGTGTTCAACGACTGCCTTTTTATTCCCCTTGACGGTGATGAATAGAGTGAAAGGAGCGCTTAACCCCATTCATATGTGCAGATCAACGCACCTAGGGTGGAGAAAACCGCGGGGAAGCTGGTGACCTTGGCCACCTTCCTCAGCAATCCAGGTACCTTTCCTTGAGGAACAGTGTCAGGCACCCGCCTCAGCGAGGGCTGTGATGAGGGGTGGGGGTGGGGTGGGGTGGAGGAGACGCAAACTCTCACCTCCGGACTGACAGTGTTTGGATTACTATTCACAGGGCGAGGTTAAGTGGGAAGCATCTACTGCCTGGGCGACACGTCCCGAGTTCCTAAAGCTAGTGAACTGATACTGTGTCCTGTGTCCCTGGTGAGGCAGTGAGTGAGGAGAACGGGAAGGTCCTCGACTTTAAGGCTCTGCAGGCTCCTAAGGGCAGCGCTCTGCTCTCTGGGACTGAGTCCCTAACCGCGCGCATCAAACGCGGTCTGCTTGGCCCACAAAGGTTCACATCCACAATCGGTTCACAGTTGCAGGACAGATCCGAAGTGTGAGGCAGCGCTTTATTTTCTCATACGAAGTGGGAATGACTAGAGACACAGGGTCCCGCCGTTTCCACGAGAGGACCCTTGTGGCAAATAGATCCACACATAGTACAGGTTAGTGTGTCCTAACCGCCAAGCACCTCTGGGGAAGGGTCCTTTAGTAGAAGAAATAGAAGTTCTGCAGAGGGTGCGTCCTCCGGAGCGCATGCATTATCTTCTCATTGGGGTTTAAATAACTTCTGTGGGGGCAAAGAGGTGGCCCATAGGTGTTAGGTCAACACGAGGTATTCAAGTCTTTCTTTCTTTCTTTCTTTCTTTCTTTCTTTCTTTCTTTCTTTCTTTCTTTCTTTCTTTCTTTCTTTCTTTCTTTCTTTCTCTCTCTCTGTCTCTGTCTCTCTCTCTCTCTCTCTCTCTCCCTCCCTCCCTCCCTCCCTCCCTCCCTCCCTCCCTTTTTTGTTTTGTTCTTTTGAGACAGGGTTTCTCTGTGTCACTTTGCGCCTTTCCTGGAACTCGCTTTGGAGACCAGGCTGGCCTCGAACTCACACCTGCCTCTGCCTCCCAAGTGCTGGGATTAAAGGCGTCTGCCACCACCACCTGGCTCAAGTCTTATAACTTATATTAGCAGAAGCAACAGAAACCTTACCTTAGAGACTTGCTCTGTAAACAATTAAATTTGTTAAACTTGAAATCATTTCATTGTAAGACTTAAAAAATTAAACAAAACATTATTATTGTGTTTGATATGTCTGTGAGTGTGTGTGTGTGTGTGAGTGCTGGGGTGGGCAGGAGCCATGGTGCATGGAGAGGTCATCAGAGCCATCCTCTGGGGATCAAGCCTTGCATGGCACAGCACTATAAAAAGCATGCCTTTATTCCTAGGACTAGAGAGGCAGAGGCAGGTGAATCTCTGAGTTCAAAGCCAACTCGATCTACATAGTGAGCCCTAGGCTAGCCAAAGCTATATAGAGAGACCTCATCAAAACAAACAAACAAAAACCCACAAAAAGCAGGTCCCCAACTCTGCTCCATCCATTCTGAAAGCAATCCTGAAGAACAGTTTGGTTAGCCTCCCCATTTTTTTCAGCTGGTCTCACTCTGTAACCCATACTTATCTCCAATTCCCGATCCTCCTGCTTTGGTCTTCCAATTGCTAGGGTTAGAGGTGTACACTACCATACAGCATTTGCAAATTTTAAAGAGTAAAACAGAATTATACTTTATTTTTTATGACTTTAAAAATTGTTGGATGGTGAGCCGGGCGGTGGTGGCGCATATCCTTAATCCCAGCCCTGGGGAGGCAGAGGCAGGCGGATCTCTGTCAGTTCCAAGGCTAGCCTGGTCTACAGAGCTCCAGAGGTAGTTCCAGGACAGCCAGGGCTACACAGAGAAACCCTGGAAACGCTTTCTCAAAAAAAAAACAAAAAAAAAAGGGGGGGGGACTTTAAAATGTATTTTATGTGTGTGCGTGTTTTGCCCGGTGCCTGATGCCTAGGGAGTCTAGAAGAGGACACTGAATTCCCTGGAAGTGGAGTTACAGATGTTTGTGAGCCACCTGTGTAGGCTCTGGGAACAGAATGCTGGTCTTCTGGAAGAGCAGCTAGCGCTCTTATTCAAGAAGCCACCCCTCCCGTCAGCTCCTGATTGCACTTTGCTGTACCTTTTCTTTTTAATTAATTTATTTCATGTGCATTGGTGTTTTGCCATGGGTGTCGGGTCCTCTGGAACTGGAGTTACAGACAGGTGTAAGCTGCCATGTGGGTGCTGGGAACTGAACTCGGGCCCTCTGGAAGAGCAGTCAGTGCTCCTAACCACTGAGCCATCTCTCCAGCCTGGCTGCAGTTTTTCTGAACATCCTGTCACCATTCCTCGTGAGTAGATTAGGACCAATATTAATCCTACGGCCAGCTGTGTGGTATTTAAATGGTTGCCGTTTTCACAATGTGCGAAGCAGTTTCTAGGAACGCTTATACCAGTATCAGTGTGTATACTTCCCAGCCAGCCTTGAAGCAATTCCTAGACATAAAACTGCTGGCTTACCCAGTGCCATGCCAAGCTTTTATTTTTATAATTTTATAATTTTTATTAGCTCTCAGAGAATTTTGTACAGTGTGTTTTGATCATATTCACCCTCCTTCCCCATCCATCCAAAGTTGTATTTAAAAACAAAAACAAAGCCAGGCTTGGGGGTACTCATCTTTAATCCCAGCACTCAGGA